ATATATATATGTTAATTGCATGATGTTTTTTATGGGTGCCCTGGTTTCCTCCCACAGTTTAAAAACATTAAATAAATTGTAATTATAAATTAAACTGGGCAAAGTTACTGTAATGATGACCTTTTCTAATGTTCCGGTCTCTTGTCCCATGGCAAAAAGAACACGCTCAACCACCATGACTTTAAATGTGATAAAGTGAATTAAAAAYGTGAATCTATCTTCCTTTAACACAGAAAGGAAAATGTTTATTTGAATGTGTGTTGTAATTCAGCATGATGCAGATTGTATGCAGCTACTGGTGCACACAGTTTGTATCAGATATTGCTTTTATTTCACTYGGGMAGTGAAGTGGACAGACAGAAAGACRCCCACTGGAGAMTGACATTGGGAACATGAGACACTGACCGACTCGCTGTGGGTTAGATGTGACATGTGGAGCTCTCACCTCCTGGCCAGAAGCTGAGAGCGTGTGCCTGATGGAGAGATGAGGTTGATCTCCAGGTCTCCTCGTCGTGGGTGAACAATAAACACCCTGACCACCACATGCTCAAGGTAATCCACATGCTGCTCTGGTTCTTCTGAGCATCCAGAGATGCTGATGCTGCTGTTCAGGCTCTGACCAGCATGGATGTGCCTATCACAGATAAACAGGTCATAGAAAGGGTCACTCCTCTTTATCACTATTGGGTTTTTTTTTTCTGATGTCTTATATCTTGTTAAAGTGTTACTCCCTGACTATTCTAACTCCTGGTTTTCTTTTCATCTTCAGTCTGTTTGATACCTGATAGTTCTCATGTGTTCTTGCTTCCCCGGCTCCCAACAAGCTTAGGGTTAGGATGTGATGTGCATGCTTGGGAATTAAAGGCACAGTGTGTAGGATTTGTTGTTTTCAGCAACATCTAGTGGTTGAGTGGTTGAGTCATCCTCCCTGGTCCTCCCCCCACCCCCACCCCTCGCTTCCAAGCGCAAAGGAGCTGCTACGGTGTCTCTCAGGTGTCAAAAACCTTTGATGATTCAAATCGCGATGTCTACCAG